ATTTTCTCATAATATATAATCATTTCACAGTATGAATATAAAGCAATGCCACAAAATTGCTGTATCAATTAATAGACTGCATGACATTGGCTCTATTATAAGCAGCATGCATTACCACTTGACTTGTAAAGATCACATTTTTAATTTCCAGTTTGTTCTTAGGTTTGAGAAATTTATGTATTGCCATAAAACTTCCATGGAATTTATACATGGTTCTTTTTGAATAAATTAATTTATTTTTAGTATAAACATTACAGAAAAATTAAGGCATCATAGACTATGAATATGCTCATGAAATGCTGAAAAGATAGTGATCCTTATAGATAGTGAAAAGATGTCCTTTATACTCTGATAAATGTTACAATGAACATTCTATATATTTTTCCTTTGGTAGGAAACTATGATGGTAGGATCTTGTCTTGGGAGGAATTTATCTAATAGGATTCTGTCTTGGTTGGATTTTGTCTGATAGAATTTTGCAATGACATTATTCTTATCCATTAAATTTCTATGCCTTAATTTTATCATCATCAAAGTAAAATTAAAATGAATATTTTTACTTTTTTTAAGGTATATATCATTTTACTCTTTCCCTACCAAGTGTGGTCAGTTAACCAAAAAACTTGCTAATCAAAAGTGTCCTGTCTGAATTATTTTGGATAATTGACACTACTGTGTTTTAATGTTTAAATCAGATTATTTCCATTTTTGTAAATTAGAATTTAAAATTTACTATAAACAATAAAAGCAAAATCCTAAACTGTTATCTTCACATTACTGTATTATATATTTTATAAAACAAAACAAACAATATAAAATTACTTTAGGAATATTATTTATTTTCTCTTTTAGATCAAAATCATAATTTTTTTTATTATAAATAATATTTTCATATTACTGAATTTAAAAAAAACTACTTACATCATCACAAATGGAAAAAATTTTCAGAATATTTTAAATAATACATTATTATTTTACAAAATTCTTCTTAACTATTATAAAAAAACGTATCCAAAATATTCAGATATTCATTTTATGAACTTAAATATATGCATTTTAATCAAATATGTTTGTTTAATTAAAAATAATTCAGTTACATTAAGATAAATTATTGTAAATTATTTGATGCTGATAATAATTAGATTTGTAGTTACATTTTTTATTAATTATATAGCTTCATTAGTTAGTTCAAATTTTCGAATGTTTTTGTAATATTAATTTAATTAAATGAAAATATAGTAATATTAATTATTTTATTTTTTGTACATTTTATTTCATCTTTTTTGTTTAAATTATTGTAAATATTTAATTTTTTAAATTTGTTTGTTATACTTTTTGAAATTTGAATTTTTTGATTTCTATTAAGAATTTAAAAAATCCAGAATGAAATATTTGCTAAATCATTTACAAAAGAAGACAAGCACTAAACTGTAGTCTTACATCTTTTATGACTATAAAAACAAAATTAAATCATAGCAAAGCTAATATTTTATTGTATTTATAATAATTATTAATTAATTAAATTAATATTACAAAACATTAAAAATTTGAACTAACAAATGAAACTATGTAATTAATATAAACTGTTACCGCAAATCTAATTACTATCAACATCAAATATTTCACAATAATTTAAAAACTAAAATTATAAAAGTTCTATTGGTAATTATTTTTATTATAAAGAACATCAATAATTTATTGTAATCTAATTCAGTTACAGTGGAACCTCGGTATACGACCTTAATCTGTTCCCAATGTTTGGACTTATACCAAATTGGACATATACCATCCAACCTTTCCCATACGAAGTAATGTAAAAATGATTAATCCGTTCTCGTGTAAAAAAAATGGCTGGCTTTAAATACCTCACTTTCCTGGCTAGTTCCTGCTTGATTTTTCGTGAGATCAGTGTGTATCTTTTTAGCTTTCTCGCAAATAATTGCTTCCGATACACTGTCTCTAGCACTGTTTTTCAGTTATCCAAAGCAAAAGCAATTTCTCGACATGATCTAATGTCTTCGATCTCTGTTTAGAAATTGATTTAACCCCTTTCACAATGTTAGCAGATTTAATAATGTCTTTATTTTTCGTGATTGTCTATATCGTCATTCTCGGGATATGGTAGGCAACAGTTAAAATCTTGAACACACGTGCCACCTTCGTATTTCTCAACAATCTCTTTTATCAGATCCATTGTAATTCTAGTCATTTTTTTAGTTTTCTGTCACTTTTCATTTGCCTTTTTGCGATTCATGATTAATAAAAATAATAAAATTTTACTTACGAATTAAAATCAGAAGAAATTTAACAAAGTTATAAACCGTTGCATCGCAAATGTCTAGTCTGGTCTAGTACACCAATAGTGCTACTTGTTTGTTGATGGCGCATGAATTGAATTATGTTGTATACCGAACAAAAGTCGTATACAAAGCAAAATTTGTTTCATCCAAACAGGACGTATTCCAAGGTACCACTGTATTTTTAAACTATCTTTATTATAATAACTAAGAAATTTCAAATAATGAAAAATTATATTTTTATCATAATAATTAAATTAATAATTATTTAAAAAACTAATACATAATTCCTATAAAAATGCACAAAATTATTATTATTAATTAATATCAAAATACAATTTTTTTATTTGAAAATTACAAAAAATTTATTATATCTTAATATAATACATATAAATTTAAAATAAAATATAACATGCAAAGTAGAAAAATCATTTTACATTTATATTTACAGTTTTAAAGAATTCAATAGTCCATTACCTTTACATGCTTAAAAATGAAAGAAGTGAATGTGAATTAAAAAGAAAAAATTTATATTATTTTTCGAATTTAAATAAAAATTAAACATTTTAATATAACTTATTAGTGTAGGACTCACATTTGATTAATTAAGCAGTGGCTGTGCAAAATAGCAAGCAAACTTTAAACTAATATTTCATAATAATTTAATAAATAATTTATTTTCTAATCAATATTATACTTGCAAAATTATTATGATTATATTATGTCTTAGTTTTTATACAAATATAAATATAAAAATTATATTTAAAAATTTAATTATATAAAGATAATTAAATGTTGATTTTAAAAATTTGTTTTAATCTGAATTATGATGATTTGTGATTATTTCATTCCATAATGTATTATATTATAAAAATTGGAATTCAAGGTAAGGTTATAAATTAATCATTTTTTTATTATTTATCAAAATTGTATATTACAAATGCAAATTATAACCTGAACTTTAATAATTATCAAAATATAGTCAGTTGATCTATTGTCAAGCTTTGTAATGTAAAATAAATTTTTCTTTGCAATATTTGGTAAATTATTAAAAAATGGAATAATTTAAACTTTATTTTCATGGATAAGGTTGACTGTATAAAAAATTTTCAGATTAAAACAATAATTTTAGTTTTTCTTTCAATTTATTGAATGAACCATAAGTTAGACACCATAAGAATATGTATGAAATTGTAAATTAAAAATTTTCTAATAAATGGATATAATGCGCAGTTTTGTTAAATGGTCCGAGTTACTAAATTTTATATTTTATACTCTTAATTGAGGAAATTTTAAATTTTGAAACAAAAATCAAAGAACACCAGTATGATGCCAGGAAGTGGTGCAATTCTGTAGTTCTTTTTGCATTTGAAATTCCAAAGGACAATGTCATGTTCTGTGATGAAGCAAGTATAAACAGGTCCATTAAAGATCCTATCACCAGCAAGCAGTCTAAAACCATTGAATTTTATAAATATAGCATAGCATGCAACTGCATATATCATTTTGATACCAATGGATTAGCAAACATATGGAGGATGTTGTATTGCTAGCATAAAGTCCCCAATGGTGACAATATGCAAAAGGCATTACTTCAAGATATTTGTTCAATGCAAATTGTTACTATTTAATTAAAATGCCTCAATGTCCTAGACTTACTAAAATATAAATTTTCGTCTACAAGTAAGTATCTTCTAATATCAGGACTTATTATACTGGCTTAATATACCTGTATATTAAATAAAATCAAAAATTGTTTTCTGTAAAACTCTCTAGCATTATCTGTAAAGCCAGTATAATAAGTCCTGATATTAGAAGATACGTACTTGTAGACGAAAATTTATATGTTACTATTTACTTTACTAACATTTATAATACTTTAAATTTTACAGTTTATTGAGCTGCAATTTAAAAGAATTGTAGACCTATAAATGCCCACCATTGTCTGTCTGTCTTAATCTCAAGAATGGAGTTAGATAGATGAAATCCAAGACCAGATATGGAAAGCTTAGGGGCAGGAGGCCCAAATTAATGTATATGAACTTCCAATGCAAACTGGAAGTCACATTATTTCAATTCAAAAATTTTCCCCTGTAAGGAGTTAGAATACTGCATGACACTGTTAATTTGAGGTAGAGCATATATTTTGAATTAAATAAATTTAAAAACTATGATTAAAAATTGTAGTCTGGCATTGTGATAGTGTCACAATAAATAATTGCTCATTTTTTGATTAATTTTATGTTTGATAACTTTATATTTAAATGTTAAACCTAATGTGACATTGAAGTGGAACATTGCAATGTACATTTATGTTTTGAAGTTAGAACCTGAAGATGACTCAATAAAAGCAGATGAAAACATTTGTTACAATGAAATACTTTGCTAGATTGGCTTGTAATGTCATATGAAGTTTGTGCAGCAATTTTGCAAGAACTTGTAAACAATTTTAAACAAATCCATAGGAATGGAACAAAATTATAGAACATTTTATACTGTTGAAATATCCATTTTAGAAAAATTGAAGTCATTTTCCTGTATGTTGAGAAAAACTTTGAATAAATACAATTATTTAGTTTTGCTAAATGATTATGTTTTGTTTTAATATATTCTACGGTGTGAAAATTATGATTTATTTTAAATATATAATGTATTCAAAATTTAATTAGTTAATGAAATAAATATTGAAAAACATTAGTTAAAGTTCACAAAATTATTTACAAAGAAAAACAATTTTATCACTATTTGACTGTAATAAGTAAAATAATATAGTTCTAATAACTAGCTTACTGAATGAAACTGTTCCTTTATGCTCAGGATCTAACTTATGGAAGACTGAAGTTGCAGCTGTTTTTGTTAAACCCAACATTAACCATGCAAATGAACAAAATGACTGAAGATCTATTAAATTATCTTTAGAGCTAAACATCTGAAATTTTCAAATTAAAGAAATAAAAACTTCTGTTTAAAACATTACTTTTTATAATTATAATTAACTTTATATTTTTTTAATTATAAAATTTACTAAAATAAATATTTATGACTTTAATGTACCTTAAAAGCTTGATCTGCTCTTTCTAATATGCTTGTATTAAAATCTAGCATTAAGAGACATGCAATATATATTCTTACATCAATCTTTCCTTCATTTGCCTAAATAAGAAAATGGAAATTTAATATACTCCAAATAATAATTCTTTCATACTATCAATTCTTTGAAAATTAAAATAATTTTTAATATATTCTGTACATACAGCAATAAATTCTTATATTAAAAATTATATAATAATCACTAAAACAGATGTTAATAAATTAATTTTTATGTAAACATATAAAGTCTGTCAAACATAATTACATAAGTACTGTATTTACTCGGGTATAAAACGATCTCGCATATAGGACAAGGTGTGACTTTAGAGATCAAAATAAAGAAAATTAGATTTATTAAAACAATTTTAATTTTATTTTCTTTAATCACAAATAAAACATTATCAAATGCACGTATTTTGTTTTGGTTTTGTTTTCCATTCATCATGTACTAAGGCAAACATAGTTGCTTCCTTAATACATGATGAATGAAAAACAAAACGAAAATATTATAATGCACATGAACAGAAAAAGTTTATTTTTTATGATTCAGAATATGCTAACATTTATCAAAAATAACAATTTAGTAATATTAAACTAATATTAAATTATAATCATTGCTAAGTGACCTGTATTTCATTAATGATTTTATAAATAATAAGGAACTATTTTCTGTGGACGAATGAGATGCAATGCAGTTTTTAATTGATGGACACAGGATTAAACCAACAAACATAGGGGTGTGTATCTTAATTTGTTTACAGTAGGTGCAAACTTATGATAAATAGATTATAGACCTATAATAATAGAATGAACTATATATAGTTCACAGAAATTATCTCAAAACACAAAGAATCCTTTGCTTACGCATATAAGACAACCTAGGTTTTTGAAGTAGTGAAAAATGAATGAAAACCTAATCTTATACGTGAGTAAATATGGTATATTATATTGTATTAATAAATACAGTTATTTATAAATATAAGCAGCATTACAGAAATTAATACGTTAAACTACAGTAGTATCATTTAATTTATAAATAGAAAGATAATTTTAATATCACTTTTGGAATTTAAATTTTATTCTATTATTGTATTATTTAAGCAAAGACATAAAATGCAGTCTTAAAAAAATCACTTATTACTAATGCAAAATTAATAAGTTTAATAATTTATCAATTAATTTAAATAGATTTACAGTAGACCCCCCCATAACACTGTTGATTTTTCTGTTTTATATGAATTCCATGTTGTACGAGTCACTTAGATTTTATAAATACGTGTGCTGAGCTGTGAACGGCTCATGTATTTGTAAAATCTAAGTGACTCGTACAACATGGAATTCATATAAAACAGAAAAATCAACAGTGTTATAGGGGGGTCTACTGTATCAAATATAATAAAAATATAATGTGTTGCGATTCAAATCTTATTGTTGCCAGGTGATGTAGTACATCCCCTTTGTTCACACACATGTATAAGAGACCCCTTAGTTTTAGTTTTAGACCCTTGGGTTGCCAACCGGAGAGAAAGCAGACTAAGGCTGTAATCTCCATATAAACCCGGAAGAAGAAAAATAAGAAGAAGAAAATAAGAAAAAGTAGATCCTTGGGTTATACTAGGACACCAGTAAATTGAACTAAGTGGTTTTATGTATGCCTTGTGCCTTTGTTTGTATATACCTTGAGTTATTAAACAACATAATGTCATAATTAAAACACTACTTTTACCACTAACATGTTAATTTACAAAACTAGTATCAATAGCTTCAAATATTAACCCCTTAAGCCCATAACCCGAGATATCTCGGGCAAGTTACATAACGTTACATAAAATGAGGTCCTTAAGGCCATTTTTGAATTTTTTTTTTTTGAATTTTTGGAATGTTTTTTAGGTCCCGANTATCCAGGTGCAGAAGAATTCTTTTTAGCATTGCATGAGTGTATGCATAGTCTGTGTTACATTAGTTCCACAGCAATGTTTATAATAAAATAAATTAATTTGTTCAAAAAAAAAAAAAATCATTTTAAGTTGATTTAGCATAATGGGCACAGAATCTGACTATAAAGGATAAAAAACCAACAATATATAAATTAATACAAAAATAATTAGTTTTATTTTGTTATAGTATGTATGTTAAAAATATCTTGGTCTTGTTGCAGCTGGAAAGCACATTTGGAATCTATTTGCTGCTTTTTGTGCATTTTATCTCATTTTCTCATAATATATAATCATTTCACAGTATGAATATAAAGCAATGCCACAAAATTGCTGTATCAATTAATAGACTGCATGACATTGGCTCTATTATAAGCAGCATGCATTACCACTTGACTTGTAAAGATCACATTTTTAATTTCCAGTTTGTTCTTAGGTTTGAGAAATTTATGTATTGCCATAAAACTTCCATGGAATTTATACATGGTTCTTTTTGAATAAATTAATTTATTTTTAGTATAAACATTACAGAAAAATTAAGGCATCATAGACTATGAATATGCTCATGAAATGCTGAAAAGATAGTGATCCTTATAGATAGTGAAAAGATGTCCTTTATACTCTGATAAATGTTACAATGAACATTCTATATATTTTTCCTTTGGTAGGAAACTATGATGGTAGGATCTTGTCTTGGGAGGAATTTATCTAATAGGATTCTGTCTTGGTTGGATTTTGTCTGATAGAATTTTGCAATGACATTATTCTTATCCATTAAATTTCTATGCCTTAATTTTATCATCATCAAAGTAAAATTAAAATGAATATTTTTACTTTTTTTAAGGTATATATCATTTTACTCTTTCCCTACCAAGTGTGGTCAGTTAACCAAAAAACTTGCTAATCAAAAGTGTCCTGTCTGAATTATTTTGGATAATTGACACTACTGTGTTTTAATGTTTAAATCAGATTATTTCCATTTTTGTAAATTAGAATTTAAAATTTACTATAAACAATAAAAGCAAAATCCTAAACTGTTATCTTCACATTACTGTATTATATATTTTATAAAACAAAACAAACAATATAAAATTACTTTAGGAATATTATTTATTTTCTCTTTTAGATCAAAATCATAATTTTTTTTATTATAAATAATATTTTCATATTACTGAATTTAAAAAAAACTACTTACATCATCACAAATGGAAAAAATTTTCAGAATATTTTAAATAATACATTATTATTTTACAAAATTCTTCTTAACTATTATAAAAAAACGTATCCAAAATATTCAGATATTCATTTTATGAACTTAAATATATGCATTTTAATCAAATATGTTTGTTTAATTAAAAATAATTCAGTTACATTAAGATAAATTATTGTAAATTATTTGATGCTGATAATAATTAGATTTGTAGTTACATTTTTTATTAATTATATAGCTTCATTAGTTAGTTCAAATTTTCGAATGTTTTTGTAATATTAATTTAATTAAATGAAAATATAGTAATATTAATTATTTTATTTTTTGTACATTTTATTTCATCTTTTTTGTTTAAATTATTGTAAATATTTAATTTTTTAAATTTGTTTGTTATACTTTTTGAAATTTGAATTTTTTGATTTCTATTAAGAATTTAAAAAATCCAGAATGAAATATTTGCTAAATCATTTACAAAAGAAGACAAGCACTAAACTGTAGTCTTACATCTTTTATGACTATAAAAACAAAATTAAATCATAGCAAAGCTAATATTTTATTGTATTTATAATAATTATTAATTAATTAAATTAATATTACAAAACATTAAAAATTTGAACTAACAAATGAAACTATGTAATTAATATAAACTGTTACCGCAAATCTAATTACTATCAACATCAAATATTTCACAATAATTTAAAAACTAAAATTATAAAAGTTCTATTGGTAATTATTTTTATTATAAAGAACATCAATAATTTATTGTAATCTAATTCAGTTACAGTGGAACCTCGGTATACGACCTTAATCTGTTCCCAATGTTTGGACTTATACCAAATTGGACATATACCATCCAACCTTTCCCATACGAAGTAATGTAAAAATGATTAATCCGTTCTCGTGTAAAAAAAATGGCTGGCTTTAAATACCTCACTTTCCTGGCTAGTTCCTGCTTGATTTTTCGTGAGATCAGTGTGTATCTTTTTAGCTTTCTCGCAAATAATTGCTTCCGATACACTGTCTCTAGCACTGTTTTTCAGTTATCCAAAGCAAAAGCAATTTCTCGACATGATCTAATGTCTTCGATCTCTGTTTAGAAATTGATTTAACCCCTTTCACAATGTTAGCAGATTTAATAATGTCTTTATTTTTCGTGATTGTCTATATCGTCATTCTCGGGATATGGTAGGCAACAGTTAAAATCTTGAACACACGTGCCACCTTCGTATTTCTCAACAATCTCTTTTATCAGATCCATTGTAATTCTAGTCATTTTTTTAGTTTTCTGTCACTTTTCATTTGCCTTTTTGCGATTCATGATTAATAAAAATAATAAAATTTTACTTACGAATTAAAATCAGAAGAAATTTAACAAAGTTATAAACCGTTGCACCGCAAACATCTAGTCTAGTG